TCTACAGGGGTGTCCCTTTTCATTTGTTCCCTAGATTAGTGCTGGAAGTAACTGTCCTGTCCTTTTTGCCCCCAGTGTGTGGCCGTCCGGCTCGTTCCCTGCCGGGAATCATCAAGCGCATCATCGGCGGGCGAAACGCAGAGCCCGGCTTCTTCCCCTGGCAGGCGCTGATCGTGGTGGAGGACATGTCCAGGGTGCCCAACGACAAATGGTTTGGCAGTGGGGCCCTGCTCTCTGACTCCTGGGTGCTGACGGCCGCCCACGTGCTCCGCTCCCAGCGGCGAGACAAGACTGTTATTCCAGTCTCCAAGGAGCACGTCACAGTCTACCTGGCCCTCCATGACGTGAGGAACAAGATGGAGGCCATCAACCGGACGGTAGAGAGGATCATCCTCCACGAGGAGTTCGACATCCAGAACTACAATCACGACATCGCTCTGGTCAAACTGAAGGAGAAGGTGACCATGGGGAGCTACGTCATGCCTGTCTGCTTGCCCCAGTTTGAGCACGAGCTGGAGGGGCCTCACCCCAACACGCTGGGGCTGGTGGCTGGCTGGGGTATCTCCAACCCCAACGTCACGGTGGATGAGATCATCAGCTCGGGCATGAGGACGCTGTCTGACATCCTGCAGTACGTCAAGCTGCCCGTGGTGCTGCACGCAGAGTGCAAGACCAGCTACGAGTCGCGGTCGGGGAACTACAGCGTGACCGAGAACATGTTCTGCGCCGGCTACTATGAAGGTGGGAAGGACACTTGCCTGGGAGACAGCGGGGGAGCCTTCGTCATCCAGGACCCAGCAACGCGGAGGTGGGTGGCCCAAGGGCTGGTCTCGTGGGGCGGCCCAGAGGAGTGCGGCAGCAAGCAGGTGTACGGCGTCTACACCAAGGTCTCCAATTATGTGGACTGGGTGGAGAAGAAAACGGGCTCCTCAGAGAGGTGGACATTTGTGGACCCGGAGCTGGAGAGATGAGTGACTCAGCAGCCTGCTGCCACAGCTCCCTGCCCTGCTGTTCTTGTTTAATGTGCTCCAGACTCTGGTCTTTCGCAAGCAGTAGCCGCGATGCTCAGCACACGCCAGGTCTCTGCCAACCCTCCACGTCATTTGTTTCTGTTGGTCCCTCATCCCTTCACTTGTGCTCTTAGGAAATGCTTGCTAGGGAGCTGGAGGAAGGCAGCAAAGGGCAGGATCTCAGCCAGCATCCTCAGCTTGTGCTGCCCATCTCCAGACCTCACCCACAGTCCCTGGGAGCCTCCCTCCAAGCCAGGACAAAGGCAGAGCAATGAAGGCAGCATTTCCCTGCCACCAAAGCTTGGGCCGCACACAGGGAATTGCCCCCAGCCACAGGGCTCTCCAGGCAGGTCTTTCCATCAGAACATGCAACTGCAGGAGCTACAGGGGCTATGGACAGTGCAGGAAACCCACCCAGCTGGGCAGGTCTGGACTTCACAGGTCCCTTGCACTGTGGAACACCTTTTCTGTGCAAGGAGAAGTGAAAGAGCCCTGGGATTTTGCTATTCTTTTTATTTGCAAACAAACATCCCTGCCTGATGGCATCACAGGTGATGTCCACCTGGCCCTGGGGTTGTGTGGGGTTGTTTCCATGGCTGGAAAGTTAATGGCTGCCAAGTCAGCACCAAAACCCAAATGGGCTACCCTTACCCCACCATGGTGCATGAGTGTCCCAGAGATGAAACAAGGACAGGGAATGGGGTTTGGACTTGATGCCACCCTCATCTCCAGCCACCAAAACTTCTCCAACCCCCCCATCACCTCAAGCCCTCTCCAGTCCTGCCCCCACACTAGTTCTTGGAATGGTTTCCAGCCACAGAAGACCTCCCAAGGAAAGCTTTTGAACACATGAAACAGCATCACATCTGCTGTACCTAAGCAATACTTATTTTCAGCAGAATAATTTCAGACAAAATGCTCTTCCTTGGAGTTTCACCTCTTCTTTAGGGGCTTGGGTAATCCTGCATGGCAGTGGATTCATCCTTGCAAGAACCTAATCCCTTTTAACTGCTTTTAAGTCCATTGATTTGGCTGATTTACAGGTTAGTGATGCTGTTCACTATTTGTTCATGGCTCTTCTGGCCTATTTCAGGTGTCCAAGTTACTCCAACTCACTTAACACACCAGAGGTATTCCTATCTCCCCAGCTTCCTTCCATGGCCCATGCAGACAAGTAAGCCCCACCAAAAAGCAAGGTCAGGTGAGCTTACCTTCCTTCAGCAGGGACATCATCTCCTTCACTTGCCAGCAAAGCCCTCCTATAGCTGTAAGCAACATGCCAAAACTGCCTGCTGTTCTCTCTATGTGCCTGTAGCCTCCTTTGGGCCTGTCCTCCTCTGGTTTTGCCACACAAGGAAGGAGTCAACAGTGAATGAGCCACTCTGCCATTTTGCTATCATCCAAAAAAGCCACTTCTAGAGCATGTAGAGGACCAGAAGGCCTAAGGAAGGTCGAATTTGCAGACATGCTAAGAACTCTACTCTTGGCTCTGTCATGCAACTGCAAGGTATTTTTTTATACATATATATATATATATATATTTCTTTTTTGATACTACATTCTGTAAAATATCTGATGTCATGTAAGGACGGTTCTGTGTAATCATCCTGCTGAGAACAAAATAAAACTTTAATATTTTATGAGGTTATGCCCTGAGGCTTTTATTCCAAGAGGAACACAGTCAAGGCTGGTTGGTAATCTCTGCCCTGTGCTCCCAGGGGGATTCTCACACCAACCCTGACCCCAAGGCTGCTCAGCCCTGGCCCACGCAGCATCACGGGCTGTGACAGACCCTCCCCAGCTGTGAATACAAATTGCAAAAAATGGCAATAGGTGAGATCCTGCCTTTCAGTAATTTATAGCCTTAGCACATCACTGAGACGGGGGTGGTGGCAGGAGGAGGGTGCAGCAACCTGTGTGCTGAGAATAGCAATTACATCCAGATCCAGTTGATGGAAAAAAAAACCCAAGTATGTGACTTTTGCCTTAAAAGAGGTGAAAGATCAGCCTGTCCCCTATAGCTATTGAACTGAGAGAGTGTGTCTTCACAGCAGAGGCTCTGCAGCAAGCACGGGTGGGAGCTGAGGCAGGGACACAGCTCTGCCAGGCACCTCCTGTCTGCATCACAGGCTGAGAAAATCCAGCCTTGGAGTGAGCTTACAGTCCTGGGAACTGTTTCCCAACATGTGCCTGGATCCAGGGCTGAGAGCTGGGTTATTGAACCCCATTTTCCTATGGCACACAACTGAAATTACAGTGTTGGGCTCCTCTGAGTTGACAGCAGGGAGGAGGGTGGCTGGTCTGGCTGGCTCACTGGTCAGAGACATCAGAGAGGTGAAGGAGAGAAGAAAGAAAAAGCAAAATCACGGCAATGGTCCTCTCAGCATTAAACCATGATCTGTAGGATCTGAGCCTAGGCAGCTGCAGGGGAAGGTAAAAAATATTGCTGCCCCATGAAAGATCAGTCATAAATACAGACTCTCCTCCACCTCCCGTTGACAGCTCTGCCGGGAAACCCCGACACAACTCAACCCTCACCCCTGCTCACCAAGCTGCCCAGTGCCAGCTCCTCGTGTCCTGTGGCTGCCCTGGCTGGCTGCAGGGAGGGCTGGGAACAGGCAGTGGAGGAGAAAAGTGAGAGCAACAACATCAGGCTTTGTATTTGCTGGCACCTCACAACCTGCTGGAGTGGTGAGAGCTTCTCTCCAGGGAGACGGGCAATTTATCAGTCTGGCTGTGGTGAAAGGCCAGCAAAATGTCCCTGAGTGAGGTTTTCCCATCCCTGGCTGTGTGTGAGTGCTAGGCATGAGCTGAGAGTTGACTGTGGCAGAGCCCAACCTCAGATGGACCAGCTGGGACCTGCCCAGTACCCATGGAAGGAGGGCGCATCCTTCATCCTTCAGCCCCTTCCCCGTACAAACACCAGACACAATGACTGGGGCTGGGAAAACCTCATCATGGAAAGAAGAGGGCTACAGGCAACGGCAGCAAGAATCTTGGCCGTGTCTCCACTTCATGACATAACACCAGCAGGGAGAGGATGGGCTGTTCCCAGCACAGGGGGAGCCAAGGGAGGGAGGGGAGCTAGTCCAGGCTGCAGGATCAGCCTCCTCCTCCCCAGCTAAGCAAGGAGAAACCTCATGAAGAAAGACAGGGCCATTTAGATACCGGACCCTTTGGGTTCCAAGCACTCCCTCAGCCACTGTTCCCCTGCTGAAAATGCTCATGCATTCCCTGCTGGTGGCACCACGGTCCCCAAGCAGAGTTGGGGGACAGGAGGGGTCTGAGGTCTTGCACTTTGCATATGTTCATCTCCAGTACTCTGAGGCTGGGAAACCACAACAAGAGATCAGCTCATCAACAGACCATGACCATATCCATGTAGGACTATGCTACAGGGAAACAGCTGGGCACAGGGATGGGGAGGGAGGCATCAACCATCTGGGGACAGCTCGGCCTTGCCAGGGCTGGCAGGTCACTAGTCCCAGCGCTTCCCAGTGCAGAGCAGCAGATCTCGCAGCTCCGGCTCCATCTGCTGGCTCCACGGCCAGGGCTGCATAAACTGCAGAGAAGGGAAAGTGCTGGGGAAGGGGGAGAGTCGGTAGGATGGACAGGACAGAGCATTCAAAAAGCAAAATCCACATGCCCCCTGGATCACACGGGGTTTTCTAGCTATTTTTATTTTCAAATGCATCCTTGTGCTGAGGAGAAAGGGCTTCTTTTATTTTTGCAAGTACAGTCCAGCCACCGCATGGGGCAGCTGAAGGTTGTCCTCATGCAGAATATTTCCTGCAAAAAACCACGAGATCCACTGGGCTTTCCGAGGCTGTGGGATGAGGTGTCTGGCTGAAGGGCCCTGATGTGTTTGTGGCCCCCCCACAAGCCCCATTGTGCCACAAGCGAGAGCTGATCTTGGACACCCAACTTTCCAGGTGCTCCATCAGCTCCTCCAGCCACCACCCCTGTCCCTCTTTTTGACCTCAGCTCCCACTACTGCGTGGTGAAATAAATTATGATGAAGAGGAGCACTGCCAAAACACACAGCGAAATGACAACAAAGCAGCAGCACTTCCAGGGGAAGCTGTTGAAGGAGTGGTGTGTTGGAGCTGCAGAGCGCCTCGTGCCCTGGCGTTTTGGGCTGCGATGGGTCCTGGCTTTGCCTGTATCCACCAGGGGGTCCAAGGAACCCGACAGCAGGGCCGGCCTGGCCTGGCTGCAGAAGCCCAGCTGGCAGCCCTCGCAGCGGGTGCTGTCGTGTGGCCCCGTCACCGCAGCGTCCACCACCACTTCCCTGAGGACACAGGGCTGGATGGGCACGCCATAGAAGTTCTTGAGGATGTTTAGCAGCAGGTTGTGCAGAAGCCTCTCCACGGTCTCCCGGCTGAACTCGGGCTCCTCCAGCCGGGGGTCAGGGCACCGCCTGCACGCCTGGCGGAAAACTCGCATCCTCACCTTGCCCCGGCACATGTGGAACACGACGTGCACTCTGGCTGAAGACCACTCATGAAAGCACTGGGAGCACTGAAACCTGCCAGGGCATGGAAGAGATCAGCTCTTCTCAGGCTTCCTGTGCTTTCTGTGCAGTCAGAGGCACCAGGGCAGCCAGGGCTGAAGGATTAACTTCCCTTGTGCAAGCAGTACATCAAACCGTCCTCCCCCAAACAGCATGATGCCAGTCTGGGAAGTTCAACACAGACATGAGCTCAGGGCTGGCACCAGCATTAAAGATTTTAGGAGTCAGGCTGTCTGCTGAGACCACCCTGGTCCCCTCTCCTAGCCCGTCCTGGCCCCACTGTCAGGAGCAGAAGTCATTGGGAGGGCAGAATCAGGCCCCAGGTATATTTGGGGCCCCAGCCCCTCACCCATATTGGCTCATCACAGCTCAGTGGAAAGCTAGCATCAGGGTATTTAACATTTAAACACCTAAATATAAGTGAGATGAAGGTAAATCTCTTTAAAACTTACTGGCCCGATGTCTTGAAGTTGTGGGTGTTGAAATATTCGGTTCCTCAGTTCTTTCTGCACTTTTGTTCTAAAGTCAAAAAGCATTTTCATTGCATGTATCTTGAACTGCTAATACTTCAACCTGAAGTGTCATGGTGCTGCAGGCACAGCATTTACGAGGTTGGTTATAATTCTGGCTTTCATCCTAAAAGTAGGTTTCAGGCTTTCCTGAATGTGGAAATCAAGGTAGCATCTGAAAAGGCAAATAAGATAAAATACAAATTCTTAATTTTTGTAACTTTATGAGTATTACTCTAATGACATGACTTGTGTGGGACTGACTCAAGACTGTTGAATGATTTTTAATTAGGGACTCCTGTCCAAGTGTTTAGTGCTTGTTCAGTTTCATGATTTTATGGGTTTCAACAGAACTTTGATTTTGCAAAACACCAAATATTTAATTTTATACATGTGAGTGTTCCCTGTTGGATTAATAATCTGCTGACAATAAGCAAGCCCAGGCCCAGGGAAGTGAAAAAAAAAAAAAGAAAAAGAAAAACAGAAGGAAGGTGTAGGTGGAGGCTGCAGGGCAGGTGAGATGTCTTGAGAAGTCAAAAGGTATGTAACCCGCAGCTCTTCATCTTGCACAATCTCTGTGGGAACTGGCAGCCAATGGCTCCATTTGTTGGCAAGGTCTCTGATCAATGCTCAGGTTCCTGCCCCAGGTTGAAACGGTTGGTGTGGGGCCACCAGTGACCAGTGCAGGGCCACAGCCTGTCTCTACTTTGCACAGCCTGGTGCAGATGCAGGGACTGCACAGGCATTGCCCTGTGTCCCAGCCTACTGTGGCTCTCCCTCTCCTCATCCTCTGGGTGCAAACCTAGAAGATTTGCCTCTAGTTTGGTGCAACTACCCCTACTTATTGGATGAGCTCTTCGGATCTTGACAGAAATGTGGAGAACCTTTGGCTAAAGCTGTCCTTTGGCCCTGTGGAGCTGCCACACTCCCCTCCCCTTCAGTTATTATTTTTTTCCAGTTTGGCAATAATCTATGAAGCTTGGAACAAAATGGGAAAAGCCCTTCCAGCCTCTCTGGCCTCCAAACTGCCCCTTTCATGTCCAAAGCTGTTTCCTACAAGCAAACTTTGAGAAAGACCCACATGGCAGCTCAATATCCCTGGTCCTCTGCCAATGGAGACCCAGTCAGCAGTTCCCTACCTTGCAAGTGCACGGTACTGCACAAACTCCTTCCAGCCAGACCTGGGGGCACGGATCTGCAGGGTATCATCCTCTTCAAGCACCCATGACTCCTTTAAGTGCCCGTCTGCAATCTTTGCTGCAAAAATGTCCTGCCAGATCCCCATGGTCCCCCCTGGAGCTGGAGCAGTGACCAGGGTCATGGTTGCAGCTTCCAGATGCTAATACATGTGTGCAACTTTATTTTCCCCAAATGTTTCCTTGTTGCACAATTTCTTATTGCTTGGCAACGGGAACCTTTGCTCCTGTGTGAACAGCACTGCCCTCCCCTGATTCCTGTGTCAATAGGTTTTGTTGACACTGTGCCAGGTCCTGGCCAGGTGAAATGTCCCCCAAAACAAGGACAAGGTGGTTTTTCTCATGCCCCACACAAGAGCCCCCAGCCCAGCTGAAGCCATGCTGTGTGATGCTGCTGTCTGTAGGCAGAGAGGTTAGAAAAGCAACCCCCTGCCAGGCTACCCCCATGCCCATCACTGCTGGGACAAACCAGCAGAGATTTGTGCCCACTGTAGAGATAACAGAAGCAAAACACAGCACTCAGCAGTTGATAAAGCCCAAAGGAGCCTTATCTCTCTCTATAGCTGCCACCAAGCACAGGCTGTTTTTAACAACTTTCAGCCAACTCAGGCAGAAAAAGGCCTGACGTGCAACCGCAGGGTGGAAAGTCAGGGAGGATGGCACTGCATGTAAAACTGAAAGAGGTGAGGGGTGCTCTGAGCCAAGAGCACCCAGGGAAGGTACCAACAGATCTCATCCTCCAGATCCCAAAAGCAAGGCTGGTGATGCAGACAAGTCCCAACAGCCACAGCTTGGCAGGGAGCCTCCAATATTTGCTGCTGGAAGGGAAAAGCTGGAAAGTCATTTGTACCAAGAGCCCTCCAGCACCCTCACACCATGTGCTGCCCCTCCTGCTAGACTGGAGGGATGTAATGATGCCTTGGGGCAAGGCCCATCTTCAGCCTCAAGGTCCCTCCCTGCTTTGAGGTCCTCCCACCCTTAATTACATCTTGATGCTCTGATCTGAAGCAGGGCTAGAAGAAAGAAAAGGAGGTTTCCTAGAAGAAGAGGAGCAAAGCCAAGATTTTCAGGATCCTTATGAAGAGGTAGCAAAGCTAGGACCTGAGTCACCCTCTGTCCAAGAGTCCTGCCACTGGAATATGCGGTTCCTCTTGGGCTGGGACAGTGTCCTGAAAGCAGGACAGTGAAGGAGTGATCATCCCACCAACATTTCTGATGCACACAGGTGAGGACCAGGGGACATCCCTGGCTCAGGTCTGGTGTGTGGGAAGGAAGAGAGAGAGCAACAGATCTCCCTGGCCCCCATCCCAGTCCTTTCCCAGAACAGTGGTCCCTCATTTCTATAGGATCTCTATAGAAGACCCCTTTGTGCACCCCACCACAAAGGGGTCTCCAGGCCTGCCTATCCTTTCATGCGAAAATCTGGCACTGTGCAGTGCCTGACACCACTGAGCCACAGCATGGGCATGGGGAGCCACCAGCATCATGGCGACCAGGATAGGACCATCTGCCCTGTGGGATCTGCCCATTCCCTTGGACCTTTCTGTGCTGGGTCTGAGATTTACCCCAGGGTGTTGAATGCAGAAAAAACTGAAAGGTTTTCACACCTCCTGTTCACTTCGAGGGCAGCCACAGGTATTAAACACCTCAAGCTATTCTAAAGAGGAGTCCCCTGGGAGACAATCCTCTCCTCTGGTACTTTCATATTCACCCAGACAAACTGATCACTTCATCTGGAAGATCTGTGGTTTCAGGCCAGTCTTTCCTGCCCAAGGCTGTTGCTATGGGGTAGAGGGATGCTCCCCACCAGATCAGGCACTTCTTCCTCCATGCTGCCCACCCCTGGGGACAAAAAATTATCCCCCAGGCTATATGGAGGTCCAGTGGCACCTCTAGCACCAGGAGGGGCCCCTGCCTTCAAAATCCAGCTGTGATGGAAAACAGCCCCCCGTTACATCATGGCAACACAGCTCAAAACACAACTGGTGATGCACAGAGCCCTCACAGTCATCTCTGACAAGAAGCCCGGCGCTGGTCCCCCTATTAAAGCCTTTGACTTACTCTCACTAAAGGGACTTTCCCAGAACTACCCACGGAGCAGAAACTGCTTTGACGTCCTGTTCCACTTCGCACACACCTCCCGGCGCTGCCCAAGCACCTTGCACTTACCGGCACCTATCTGGAAACAAAAGCTGCTCCTGCAGATCCCTCTGGTGCCTGGCCTTAGCAAGGACCAGGGACAAGCCCTGTCTCAGCCCAGACAGGACTCTGATGAGCTGAAGAGCCCCTGCAGGAGCGGGACCCTGCCAATCCTCTCCATCCTGGTACTCCGGTCGTGACTTCTCCACGGGATGTGTGAAGAAGGCAAACACACGGTGCAGCCCGGGCGGTAATTTCCCTGCTGCTTTCACACAGCCTGAAATTGTTTCTTTTACTCCAGTTCCCACCCCCGGCTGAGCCGCCCAAGCGAGAGTAGGAAAGTTTCCCGAGGCTCCTTACCCTCCTCTCCACCTCTCACTGTATCGGCCTCACCACCCCCACCCCTGCAGCCCAGGGACAAAGTGCCCACACTGACCATGAGGACCCTGCTTGGCCCAAGCACACCCCATCCCTACTGGGATATCCTTTCCCTTTGGGACCACCTCACAGCCAGGTGATTCCATCTTGACAGCAGGGGTAGACAGGGACATCCAACCACCATCCCCAAGCAGGACCACAGAGCAGGATATCCCCTCTGTAGCAGGGGATGCTGTGTCCATGGGCATGGCAAGGCTTGGACTACCACCTGAGCAACAGGGCATAACCAGGAACACGGCCCTGTCTTTCACTGTGTGCTTCATACTGGGGCTTTCTTCCCACTCTGAAGACTTCCCTCATCTTTTCCTGCACTAAACATGCCCAGTTCTTTTCCATCAGTAATTCTTCCAGGGCATTTTTGCTCTTTTCTCCGGGTAATTGGGGAGAATTTGATTTCTAACCCGCCCCCCAGATAGACCCCGTATCTTCCCTCAATAGCATCTTCCCTTCACCTGAGCCAGGCTTCCCCAGAAAACCTCTGCTCAATGTGTCTGCTGTGACCAGCCATCGATACCTGCTGGTGGGACATGGCTTCCTGGATAGCCATCCACCCACAGCAGCAGAATTTCCCATTTCCCTAATTTGCTTTTGAGAATGTCACATAAGGCAGCATGAAGACGGCATCACTTCTGCTTTCCCTGCAGTACCCAGCCCCTCAAGAAGAGAAAATGAGATGGGTCTGACACAACCTGTTCCTGCTAGCTCTGTGTTCTCAGCCCCAGCACTGCCCTCTTGGTGTTTACTGCTTGGTGGCCTTACTAATTTGTTCCAGCAGTTTTCTGGGTATGGAGGCTGGCTGACTCATCTAGAGTTTCCTGGATCCTCTTTTTTCCCCTTCCTTGAAGCAGATGGTGAATTGGGCATCAATATCCTCCTGGGACACAGCTCCACACCAGCTCTCCGCATCCTTGTTCCCCTCCAACGTTGCCACTGTTGGTAGTGAACAACTGTTACCCCATCATGGTGAATCCCACCACCTCTAGGGACAAGCAATGGTTGTAGGATCCCTTTCAGGTTCCCTTGTCTTCTTAGCCAAGCCCTTGGAGTAGAGGGACCCACCTGACCCAGGGTGGATTTTACACCAAGGGGACTAGTGTGACTAGTGGAGTGCCTCAGGGGTCGGTACTGGGACCGGTGTTGTTCAACATCTTCATCAACGACCTGGATGAGGGTATAGAATGTACCCTCAGCAAGTTTGCTGATGACACTAAGCTGGGAGGAGTGGCTGACACACCAGAAGGCTGTGCTGCCATTCAGAGAGACTTAGATAGGCTGGAGAGTTGGGCGGGGAGAAACATGATGAAATTCAACAAGGGGAAGTGTAGAGTTTTGCGTTTGGGGAAGAACACCACCATGTCCCAGTACAGGTTGGGGGCTGACCTGCTGGAGAGCAGTGTAGGTGAAAGAGACCTGGGGGTCCTGGTAGACAGGAGGATGACCATGAGTCAGCAATGTGCCCTTGTGGCCAAGAAGGCCAATGGCATCCTGGGGTGCATTAGAAAGGGTGTGGTTAGTCGGTTAAGAGAGGTTCTCCTCCCCCTCTATTCTGCATTAGTGAGGCCGCATCTGGAGTATTGTGTCCAGTTCTGGGCCCCTCAGTTCAAGAAGGACAGGGAACTGCTCAAAAGAGTCCAGCGCAGAGCTACAAAGATGATTTAGGGAGTGGAACATCTCCCTTATGAGGAAAGGCCGAGGGAGCTGGGTCTCTTTAGCTTTGAGAAAAGGAGACTGAGGGGTGACCTCATCATTGTTTACAAATATGTAAGGGGTGAGTGTCAGGGGGACGGAGTTAAGCTTTTCTCAGTGATGACCAGTGACAGGACAAGGGGTAATGGGTGTAAATTGGAGCATAGGAAGTTCAAGGTGAATATCCCAAAAAATTTTTTTACTGTGAGAGTGACAGAGCACTGGAACAGACTGCCCAGGGAGGTTGTGGAGTCTCCCTCACTGGAGACATTCAAAACCCACCTGGATGAGTTCCTGTGTGATGTACTCTAGGTGACCCTGCTCTGGCAGGGGGGTTGGACTAGATGATCTCTCGAGGTCCCTTCCAGCCCCTAAGATTCTATGATTCTATGATTCTATGATACGATAAACTGTCACGTCAAAGAACGATAAATTTAATTTTGTATTAAAATAGACTTGCTTCTCAAGGACAATTGAACCCAAAACAACAGATGTGGTGCGGGACAGAAAGGATGAGCAACAAGCCATCCTGTGCCCCTGGTAGTCACCACCCTAACTTGGGGCTCATGGATGCTCGTTGGCTCTGGACAGTGACACTAACTGGACAGGTGGGTCATGGGGTATGATTCTATGATCTTTTCTAGAGGATCCTGTCTAGAAATGAAATGCTGCCCTATTGTGCTTGACTTCTAGGACAGAGAGGAATGCTAAGTACTGGGAAGAGATTGAAGGGAGGAAGTGTCTGTGAAGATGTGAGCAAATAACACCCCAAATGGTTTTGGGCACTCTGATCATCCAGTGGGCTTCATGATGGTCCCTGCAAGTGTAAGGAGAGAGCTCAGCCCCCCCTCCTCCCCAACAAGTCTCTGCCCCAGTGCCACGGGTGGTTCGTTTGGTCTTGGTGGTGGCCTGGGGGGCACAGTCTGTCTCACTCACCCTCCCAGTCCCTGCACACCAGGACCTGGCCTGGCAGTATCCTCCTCGAGCAGCACATCCCACCAAAGGGAGGAAGAAACTGAAGCAGAAACCTTGCTCAACTCAAAGCAAAACTAGAGAAAGCAAAGTGAGGGTAGTGGGAGGGAACGTAGATGTTCTGCAAGCCTACAGCAGGCTCAGCGACAGGCAGGGTGAGTCTTTGGTGGGATGAGACAGAGGAGATGCTGTGGGCCTGGACACCTCAAGACATACCAGAGCCGTGCAAGTTGACTGCAGTTAGGGGTCCAGGCAACCAGTCCAGCAGCCCACCCCTCCTATCAACCACCCATTGTGCCCACCAGCTCACCCCAGCCTGTCCCCTCCAGGACTGATGTCAGCTTTTCCAGCAAGATAAGGCCATGGCAACACTCCCAGACCATACTGCCTGACAAACCAGTCCCATGCTCAGATCACTCCATTAGCATAGGGGCCAACTAATCCACAAATCCTGCTGCAGCAACAGCCCAACCTCTCCAAAACCAAAACAGACCCCTGAGACCTCCTAGTGAGCAGGACAATCCTCACTTGTAAGTGACCTTACTGCTACATGATCTGACCA